GTGCGACTAAAGATGAACAAAGCGGCAGGTAAAAATAGTTCCTCCTCGTGGAACTACTTCGAACTTCGAAGTCCAAAGGAAGTTAAATGAAACAAACAACGGAAATCCTTTTGTCTGAGTTTTTTTTTTCTCTCCCGCGATCGGTCGAATAATCGATTATTATTCGCCAGGGCTGCCGAATAATCGATTTTGATCATGGTCAGTTTCTGGCAACCCTAGTATCTGCTTTAAGATGGGATGATCAATAGTGCTGCAACCAAAACTCTTTCGGCAAACTATTTTGGTGAATTATTCTTTTTTAAAGTAACTTTTCAATCAAAAATGGCAACAAAAAAAATCTGCTTCCTGCCACTCAATATGGAGATTTGTTTCTCTTTACTTTTGGATATTATATTAAACCACACATTTCTTGGGTTTGCCCTGACACGACATCGTAAACATAACAGAATTAAAGAAACTAGGTTGGCCATTTCACCTTTTTCTGGCTTTCTTTTAGACCAAATCATCTTCAATGAAAGAAAAAATGCTTCAATACACTAAACGCATTGACATCCAACCTTACCACTGTTAGCTGTTAACATGCTGGTCGTTAGCAAGTTAGCATGTAGCATATTAGCTCCATCAAACTTGACATTTCAGTCTGGTACAGTAGTGCTCCAAAAATATGTAAAATATTTGTGACAGTAATTAGTTGAGAACTGAAGTGGAGTACAGTGTTAGTAAATGCAATTAATTACTCCGCTCTGCTGTCGAGAAAACAGTTCTTCTCAGATACAGAGTAACATTGTGTGTGAGTGTGTTCTGAGGATGTCAGACAGTGTATCATAGGAGCAGTGTGTGTCTCAGTAAGCAGGGGTTTCCTCCTCTGCCAGGCTCTCTGGTTTGACCCTGACGTTAATGGAGTGTGTCTTGAGGTCCTCCAGGGCAGCGAGGGATGATGAACATCCTCCACTGCAGTCTAACACACACACACACACACACACACACACACACACACACACACACACACACACACACACACACACACACACACACACACACACACACTTGTAGTCTGCGGAGGCTGATTGGAGGAGAAGCAGCAGTTTCATCACAGATATCCCCCTCCCTCTCCACTTCCTCCCTTCCTATCACCCACCCTCTCTCTGTGTAATCACTCCCACATAATCAACAAAAAAACAGATAGAGAGAGAGAGGAGAGAGAGAGAGAGAGAGAGAGAGAGAGAGAGAGAGAGGGGAACCAGAGCCCCAAAAACAACAATCACAGCAGGTTTTACAATCTAATTCCAGTTCTGCAGCAACAGGAGCACACACACACACACACACACACACACACACACACACACACACACACACACACACACACACACACACACACACACACACACACACAC